ACAAGTTCAAACAAGGAGTGGGAAGAAGCATACACTTTTAATTTTGACAGCCCTAAAACACATTTATTTGATAAATGTAGGCTTTATTTATTTATTTAACAATGATCTGGTGACCCCCTGAAATTATCTTGGGACCCCCATGGGGGTCCCGACCCTCACTTTGAAAACCACTGGCCTAGACAAGTACGTCACCTGACTTGAATCCAGTAGAACATGACGGAGGATTTTAAGGAGAAAGGTAGAGCAACACAACCCAACGTCTCTCCAGGAATTTTCTGTCCTCTGTGCCGAGCAGGGTTGAAAAGTAAAGTATTAAAATGTGAGATTTGAATGTCGTTGTTGAAACCTGAACTGTCTTTTGTTCCACCGAGTTCCTGCTGCAAGGTGTTTTAATACAGTAAATCTAACCTTTACACAAGAGCTAATACCCAACTGTTCAACTTAGAAGTGATGCAACAAGCGAGTGACAAGACCACAAAAAGGCGAACCCAAATGCACGACTCCAAAAACGTTCTCAAACTGATTTATTTACAGAAGTATCAACAGAAATATCATTCAACAATAAAAAACCAAAACTCAAAGCATCACACTAACGAGGAGAATAAAGAACTAAAAAATCACTCGATTGAGGAAATACAAACTAAAAATCACTCAATGAGGAAAAACTAAACAATCTTTCTAAACAAAGTAACAACTCAAACACTTGACTAGGGAAGACGCTGAATACAAAGTAGCAAACAAAACACAAAACCTGACGGTAGTTTCCACAAGGGACATGAACGGGGAAATCCTGGACATGAAGAGGGCTAGAACGTGAAGCTTGACTCAATGACAAGACGAACTGGCACAGGACAAAGGGAGACGCACACTATATATACACACACAAGGTAATGAGGAACAGGTGGAGACAATCAGGGCTGGGTAGACAATCAGACACAGGAAACACCGGGGAGAGGGCAAGCGTCCTGAAACACGAGGGCAAAGAGGTTTCAAAATAAAAGCCACGAGACAACACAAATACAAGACAAAAAAACCAAATAAAACCTAACACCTGGTACGAGACATGACAGCGAGAGGTGTTGCAAGTTTGAATCACTTGACATTTATTGCACAGAGGTGTAATCACTTCTATTGTATGTTGCACGCTGTGGGTTAATCTCAGTGTCACATCATATAAAAGTATATTCCACATATAATAATTGCATATTATACGCTACTGTAAATCTATGCTCACGCATACTCATAGCGGCGTTTGAGCCTCGGTGGGTTTAAATGTCTGTCTGCTCGTTTCACTGTGTTGTTCTAGTTTGTAATTAGCGAGCTTACAGTGTTGTGAAATTTTGCCATTATCCTTTGTAGCGATAAGTACGCGCTACAGTGGAGATCTGTTGAGATTATTAGGTTTCACAGGGCGAGACATGCTCCCACCAGACGAGTCATGCAGCTTTTGAAAGATGAGACGATGAGCGCAGTCGTTCTATTGTAAAATATATTCATGAGCTGTAATTTCTTTAATTCTGAAAACTCAGTGGATTTGCTGCTACAGCCTGACATGGTGTTGTGTGACTAGTAGCTTGTGGCGGCTAATGCTAGCTGATATAACCAAACCTTAGGTAGAGATAACTGTGTGCCTGCTTGTGCTTGTAATTATATTTGCAATATTTTCACATCCTTTCTATGGTAATATCATTGATCATCATGGATCACAGTCTAAACTATCCATCCATCCATTATCTATACACCACTTAATCCTCAGGGGACTGGAGCCTATCCCAGCTGACTCAGGGTGAAGGCAGGGGACACCCTGGACAGGTCACCAGTCTATCACAGGGCTACACTTAGAGACAGACAACCAAGCACACTCACATTCACACCTACGGACAATTTAGAATCACCAATTAACCTCAACATGTTTTTGGACTGTGTGGGAGGAAGCCGGAGAACCTGGAGAGAACCCACGCTGCACGGGGAGAACATGGAAACTCCACGCAGAAAGATCCCGGGTGTCCTCACTGGGATGCAAACTGGCGACCTTCTTGCTGTGAGGCAACAGTGCTAACCACCGATCCACCTTGCAGCCCCAGTCAAGACTAAACATTTGTAATTTTTCCAGCTTCAGATTAGTTTTTCATGAACTTGTCCTAAATCTGATTTGTGTACTATAACATCCAAAGAAACATAAAGACAGTGATGTAAAGTGGGAGTTGTAATCACACATCATCGGCCTTTTGAACAGCAACAGCAAACATATCTTTGGTTTTAAGTTTTTTTTTTATTGTAAATGTGTTTTACATAGTAGAACAAAAGCAAAAAATATAACATTTTCTTAGCAACTCTTTTTGTGTTAAGTGAGAACAGAACACATTTCTAAATAACTTATCCTGTGTTTCATAATACAGTATGCTACACTGCTGATTGCACCTGTCAGAGTAAGTGGAAGTTTTTTTTCTAAACCGTGGATGTATCATGAAACCTTTCACCAGCCTATTTAGCAATGTGCTGTGTAAACACCTGACAAAAAAAATAAGTTACCGTATTTTTTTTTTTTTACACAATATATTTGAATTATCACATTATGTACACTTTACATTTAAAAAAAGAAAAAAAAAGAAATCTTTGCAATCACAGAAATCACTAGAAGAATAGTTCAGCTTTCCTTTCTGACGCATATACAGTATTTACATACATTCATGGGATCGCCGTTGACACCCATTCAGAAGAGCGTTTCTTCTGATTGCATGGAAGGAATGGCTGACAGAGATAACAGCGTCAGGGGCTGCATACCAAACGCTCCAAAAGGGTTTGTCAATCATCGCAGGTATATGCAAATCATCAACATTGAAAGAAAAAAAACAACATAATTCCCATTTCTTGACATCACTTTTTTTTTTTTTTCTGAACGCTGTCAGCTGATTCTCGACCTCACGGCGCAGCGATCCGTCTCGACAGCTGTGCAGCACCTGCCGTCCCTCCCATGACTCATTTGGTTTAATTCCACTGAAATGCAGATCGACCGATGGCAAGCATTCTGTACCGGCAAAAGCGATACGACGAAAAAGCTTAACAGTCGCTGATCCCTTACAGTACGAGACAAAGGCATCGTAGTTTATGGCAACAAATGTGATTCTGTGGACGATCCTCAGTTTTCTGTTACTGTTGACGAATATGATGTAACGAGTCTTTTGGGATCAGACCAGAGGAAGTGAAAAGGATTCCCAACAATTCCCTTTGAATGCGTTATTTGATTATGTTCCAGTCTCAACAAATAGATAGCAAGTAATTCCAGTTCAATTTTGAGATGCTGTTCGACTGCTTTTTGCTGTCAGAAAAAAAGGAAGCAGGGGTAAGATTGGCTACTTGATGCTTCTTTAAGCTCATGAATCTCCCATATATTAAAATGAATCTATGCAGGAGGACAGAGTACATTCATCTCACTCATAAACTCTTTGTCTGTGTGGCTTTTCTTTGCATATTTGCACAAATTTACATCCGATCCACCTCAAACTTGCCAGGTGTATCAGCTGGGACCTGAAGAAGTGCAGTGTCAAGTTTGAAGCAGATCAGATCAGCAGTGGCTGTTTTAAGGGGTCGTCAGCCTTTTCTTTTGGCTACAGGCAGGTGGAGCAAAAAGTACCTCATTGCTAGAAAACCTCAACAAAGGCAAGTATTTGTGCTTCAGTTGTGGTACATTTTACTATGATACTCCAGTTGCTACTTACAACAGCAGGTTGTTCAGCAAACAGCCTCGCAGTGATGCATTTATCTTGGTAATCTGAGATAGTTCCGGTTTAAACAAGGGGCCTGCCATGTGGAAAACCCTCCATTTAAGTTGGATATGCAAATTATTTAATTTAATTTTATGTGTTAAAAAAAAAAAAAAAAGATTCACGATACATCGGCGACCACGTCGGTATCGGTCCGATTAACAAATTTAGCCGATGATTGTCTAACATGAGCGCCTTCGTCTCTACGTTTGATGTTGCTGCTATTTCACAAGTCCTGGACTTGAACATTAAATATGTTAAAATATGTTTAAATATGTTTTACTTTTGTTACGTAATAAAGAAGACCCTGCGGTTTGATTTGGTATGGGCTTCTTTTGAATAGTTTTCTCAAAAATTGAACATCGACATCGGTAATATTGGTTATCGGCGATATCAGAAATCTTGATATTGGTATCGGCCAGAAATTTTAATATCGTGCGTCACTAATTCACACTGATACCAGTCTGTGTGTTAGTCAGTGACAGCAGTGATATGAAGTAAATAAAGTCTCATGAAGTAATAAATACTGAAACGTATAACTAACCTTAGCATGGATCATTTTCTAGATGATTTTTGGTTGTAGCTGCACTGCCATCTGTTTTGATCATCCAAAAAAAGAAAAAAAAAAAAGCCATAAAAATGACAGTTTTTCTGACAAACAGCCTTTTGACCAGATGAACCAAAGACAGAGTCAGCATAACTACATATAATACTCCAAATTCTCAGAACGGGATGAAAAACAATTTTTTTTTTATGTGTGCAAATTACATCGTGTCATGATCTTTGTTTATGAGCAGTAATTCAACGCGAACTCGAGCCTTGTTCTCGTGTTTGAGGCTAGTGAAGCGTTTCATGTAACCAGACTAAAAGGCAACAGAAGAGACTCATTCAAAACTAAAGGAATGTTGGTGCATCTTTTCCTCTGCCATTTATGAAGAAAGAATTAAACCAAGGCCCCAATCCTCCCCCACTATTGCTTCCTAATACTATGTCCAGCAAGCTCTTGTTGCTGGGCAACAAATGAAATTCAAGCCATTAAGCAATGAGTTTTTTTTGCTAATACTACTTTTAAACAACATTTGGCTCCAGGGAAGTAAAAAAAAATAAAAATAAATGGGGGTTTTAAATAGTAGCAGACCCCCCAGTGTTAGAACCTTTATCGATATAAGGCTTTGAACATTAGCAATAAAACACACTTCAAAGTGTAAAAATACTCTGAATAGCAAATCTTTCCTCAAATGAGATTAAAAAAAAAAAAGATTTGAGAATAAAGTTGTAATATACAAGAAGCTTATTCCACCTGTGAGGGTGCTGTGTCAAGTAACAGTTTTCTGCTTTTTTTTTTTTTTTTTTTTTTCCAGTCTTTTCCTCGTCACCCAATAAATTATCACAGTACCATGAATGTACGTCACGCGCATAAACACACACGGGCAAAAAGGAGTCCCGCACAGGCTCCTTTAAAGGGTCTTTGGACTGTCACCCCTCCTCGGTCTTTCGTCACACACACACACACACACACACACTCGCACACAGCCTCAGCCTTGCTCCCCTCCCCGTCCTTCTTCCCCGTTTAGCGTCAGTCCGTCACGGCGGGGTCAGAGGGGTCCGTTTGCAGAGCGTCCTGTCCTGCTGCTTCGTGGAAAGCGGTGGACTTTGAGGTGTTTCGACAGGTGATCGCTGCGGGCAAACTTCTTCTCGCAGACGATGCACTGGTATGGTTTCACTCCGGAGTGGGAGCGGCGGTGTCGGGACAGCTCGTCTGATCGGGAGAACCTGTTGGAGGGAAAACCCACAATGTGATTTATTAGATTTTATGTAACATTAAGCATCTTTTTTGACAATAATTCCCCCTCCTCACTGCTCACAAATTGACAAACTGTTTCCTATGTGCATTAATTACCAACCACTTTGCCCCTTCTTGGATAAAAATAATGGATGCAGTCATGGTTCAAGCAGCCAAACAACATAAAAGTAATGTCAAGCTGTTTTATATGAGGGTAATGTGAGAGGTGTGATGGCGTGCATGTGCACTGCCCGGTGACTTCTCTGTGAAGTTAGAGAGCCATCCCATATTTAACTCAACACATGGGCACTGCAGATCCAAGCCCGGTCTATTCCTGGCCTACTCTGCTTTGGTCTCTATGGGCTCCAGCCAGCTTGGGCATCATGACAGCAAAGGGTTAAGTGGATGATAAAGCAGCGCCAGTATACCTTGTTGTGTATCCGTATGTATAAGTAAAGCTGTTAAGTTCAGATTAATCTGTAACACAGATTGATTTCCCGGCACATTTCCAGTCGCAGCAGGCCGAAGGCATGGAGGCGATAATTCACAGAGATGTAAAGACGTCACTCACAGTTATTTCAAACCATTTCCACTCCAGACACGGATTACACAACCGGGCTATTCATCATTTTAATGGCCCTGTAGTAAAAAGAAGATAACTGGCAGAGCTTATGAGGCTGAGCTGTGTAAAATATAAAAACACAAGAACAAACACTGATGATTCATGTGTTTAGTGTTGAGATCTTTCTCACCTGCACATCTCATATAGTACTCCAGATAGCACAGGGAAGCAACAAAATCTGCAGCCTTTGCATTTACAATATTCACCACCTTCACTGTAGTTCTAGCTAACTAGCACCAGGTAGAGCCGAGCATTGACGGGATTAGTTTTGCAGGTTTGCTCAGAAACTGAAGAATTAATGAACATCTGGAGCAAATTTCTTGAACATCTATTGCTTTCTTCAAAGTCTCAAAGACAAAACACAAGACCGTCATGATGGAGGAAATGTCAGAGGGTCACCGAAGTCATTGTCACTATGAACATCTGATCCCATTAACCAACTCTGCCACAGAAGTAATGCATACAGTATCATTCCTTCTACTGCAAGTAAAGCAAGAAAAAAAAAAAAAGGATTGTTGTTTTGCCTTGCAGCTGCTCCACAGAGGCTCCTCTGTACAGGCTGTGTACAACTTCCAAAGTTTCAGATGGAATACAGCCTGGATGCCGTAACCTGTGATTCACCCTGTTTTTCCCCCCCTGCAAAATCTACTGCCGGTGATATTATATCATTACTGCAGTAATGTGCAGTACAGGGAAATGTTTATCTTACAATCAGAGTAATATGATGAATCACTCTTTTGTAGGAACTCAATATGATCATTCTGCAAAAGATCAAGGAGGAAATCCTGGATCCAGGAGAAATAAAAATAAACTTTTTAGTGTTATAATCATGAATTAATTCTCCTATGATTCAGTCACTGAGGGGCAGCATAATAGGCCGGAGCCACATATTGCCATATTACTAATTATATGATTTAAGGTTCAACAAATGCTCTTGTACATAAAGGCACTAATGTCACCAAAATGTGCTTGAAAAACATTTTTTTTCTGACAGCAGCAAATGGAAAGAATAGCTCAGATGTATGTTACAGCGCAGTCTTCCAAATGTTATTGCACATACATAAACATTACTGAATAGCTCGACTGTAGACATATTTAACTAATTTTGATATATTTATAGCAGCAAGTCAGAGTCTGGCACTACGGAGCAACACTAGCCTCCATTTATAGCTGTGTTCCTGCTCATCTAACAGATGTAAATCTAATATTTATTCACCTATTAGCTCCTATTTTGGTCTCCACCTAAAGACCCCGACTCTGTAGCTGCTACATGCTCCACTTTGTTCTGCTGCTAAATGTGTCCGTCTGGTGCTGGGCAGGTCGCGTACTGTATGTTTATCTGAGCATTTTTTTGCTATAAACAGACGTCAGACAGCAGCGAAAGTGAAGATTAAAGCAATGAACTGAAAGATGTCACTTCAGTTCCTTCGCATTCCACGAAGTCACTGGATCCATTGTTGACAGAAAAACATAGAAAGTGCAGCTTTACATTTATGAAATACATTCTGGCAAAAGCCTCGAGGCAAAAATGACTTTGTCCCGACCTGTCATCTGATGACATTTGAGAGCGTTTACAGATGTTCAAGGGATTAGGAGGGTTGCTTAACCTACAACAAGAACACGATTCAGAAAAAAAAAAAAAAAACCCATCCCTCGCTTTATATTTAGTACTCGATGTGACTGTGCATTCTGTTCTTACGGTAATCTGCGGCTGAACGTGCACGTACACATGACACTCCGAAGCTGCGGTACATCAACGGCAAGCCGGGGCACGACAGACACGATGTACAGCTACTCCACTGAGTCAAACTGGGCCCGAGCCCAACTATAACATAACAGGCAAGATCTTTCAGCAGAACATGTAAATAGACAACCTTGTTCTTTAAATCTATTCAATTGTTGGTTTTTCTACGTTGATCATGTGCCAGCCGCCTCGCCACCTGTCCCGGACTCATGCCCCCCTCCTGCTGTATCGCTCTGTGTTCACTCCCCATCTCACCGGTGGGAGGTTTCTCAGCTGCACTGCAGGGGTTGTGGGCAAGGTCAGCGAGTTCACAACAGCGAGGGGTGGAGGGCACTTCATGTCGATCACCTGAGTGTGTTTTTCACCTGTGTTTTCTTTTTTTTTTTGGCACCTCAAGTCCTTGGGGCGGCTTGGCGTGGCTGCAGCGCAACACATAGTATACATATTAGCGTGGGCGCTGTGGGAAACACATATGCAGGCTTTGTTCTAGCTTGTCCCTAAACTCAGCTCCACAGCCAACAGAGCATATAAAAGCAGCCTCGAAGGTGTGGCGGTCAGGCTGGTTACGAACCTGGAAAATTACAGTAACGGAGATACCAGCGAGCACGCATACTGTACCAGATTTTATTTTCTTTGTCTCTCTTGCTTCGTTTATTCTGTCGGCCTCGGGCAATGTGTTTGTAAGTGGCTCGAATTTAACTCCATGGAAGTTCAAAGAACAAGCATGTTAATGCATGAGCGCAAAAAACATTTTAGAGTTATTTATCCAGCTCAACAGTGTTCCAGACGACCACAACCTCGCTGGCGTCCCTTCAAAAAGGGAGCCGGGACGATGGCGGTTTCCTGATCAGCTCGATTACACATCCTAAGTGATGGATTGAAAAAGTAAGCAGCCTCTCATCCGACTTCTTTTCCTCTCTTCTGAGCTCTGAGTGTCAACATCTAAAGCTACATTAGACTGCGACAGCTCTCTCGCCGCCCATCATTGTTCCACCGCGGTGATGAATGCATCCTCTGACAAGGACAACAAGCCGCAGCCCCGATGACAGATGTCGAGTACACACACGCCACAGTGTTTTTACAGCAAACTTTGGGTTCCAGCCCAGCCGCTCAACACAAAAATCTCGCAAGCCTCCGTACGAGCCTGAGCTAAAAAAAAAAAAACACAATACCGCATGCTCGTGTGTTGGCTGTGTGTTCCTTTAAGCATAAGAGCATCTGTACATGAGCATAACCATAAACTACAGCCAGACACGACGATGAAAGTCCGAAAAGCTTTAAAGAGTGAAAACCGTTTGGCAGAGCAAGAAATACAACTTTGACTGAGTTATATGCGAGAGTCCAGCCAATGAAATACCACTCCTCTCTACTTCAGAGGAGCCAACACATGGATCTACTCTGAGGTTACAGAGGGGAAGAGGTGCCTGACTCCCGAGTTCACCTCCATTTTCCGGTCCGGAGGGAGAGAAGCAGGGAAGGGGCAGCTTTATAATACAGTAAATTGCTACTGTCATGTCCGAAGTGCAGCTTTGGGAGGACTGTTAAAGAAATGCATGCCTTTCATAGGAGAAAAAATATATACTCTTATTGGCTTAAATAAAACACAACGAATGAAAGAATGCCTGCAAAGTTGAATTTCCCTAAGAGCTGTTATGCATACAGTATGCCTAAGAGCGCAACTACAAGGGTATACTTTTAGTTTTTAGTCTATTAGGAGCTCATCTACGAACAAATCAGCAGCAATACCCTCCAAACATAATCATAAAGTGATATGGCAGAAATGCAACTACTGTTTTAGATAGACAGCAGATTAAGCAACTGGTTTCTGTCTCGGCTTCTGCATCCGATCAGTGGAACATTATCTAATGGCCACTGCAGTAAAGTTGCCGCTCGTCCTATAGTGTGTTTCCACGGGGGAAGCAAAATTTCACCTACGATCAGCAGGATTTTTATCTAACATAACGCGTCAGCCAAAATAACAGCGAAGCAGCAATTAGTTCTGAATGAAAGTTTCAAGAGGTTCAATTAAATGTTCTTCTGTATCAGGTTAACAAAGAAAATCCAGACCACGGATACGCTTGTGATCGATATCGCTGTGGATTCTGAGCCAGAGTCAGCTGGTTTAGTTCAGCGATAAGAATAGAAAAAAGGGGAAACCGCTAGCGTAAAGTTGCCTACCAAGTTGCCTAATAAAAATCTAATTTCAGTATTATGTAGGAAGGTATCAACTGTGCCTTAGTCCAGTGGCTTCACAGAGTTTCTTGGCAACTTCTCAGTGAAAGCAAGACATGAACGTGATACCACTCTTCTGCGCCCTTGCACAAGGATGTACTCCTTTAAGTACACCTATGTCAGCCTGCTTGATGGACTAACGCAGGCTAAAGAAGGGGGACGTGCACGCCCAAATGCTTTTTCTCATTAAAAAGAGAAAAAAATAGGTGTTAAAGCAATGTGTTTGTCTCAAATCAGCCTAAAAAGAAAGAGTGTAATGAGAGATAGACCAGGACAACTTGATATTACATAATATGCTTGTAAAAACCTGGATGTAGTCCAAGACGTAATCCATATCGTGAAGGGGAAAAAAAAGAAAAGGTGTCGGCTCTGGAGGATTTTAAAAGGCTGCAGGTGCAGCACAGCCTCCGTGCAGAATGTGCTGTTTGCAGAGAAAAGCCTGATCGCTGACAAACACCGGGCCAGCCTGCTGAGCTGGACCAAACTTATCTGATTCACACTTTCATGCACACACGTGTAAACATGCACACATGCACATTTTCATTATTTTCTCCACTCCACTCTAATTATAACTTTACCCTGTCATTTAAGTCCTTATCACTATTTAACCTTAACCAGAGCACTTGCCCTAACGTAACCCCACCTCTGTCCATGTACTGAAAAAAACACACACACACTCACACAGACTCACACACACACACACACACACGACATGACATGACACTATATGTGCCCTTGAGCAATAACTGTATGTACAGAGGTGGAATTTATTGACCAACAGGTCAAAAGTTGCCATTTGTACTTTGGATCGAAGAGTTTAAAAGGTGATTTTCCTACTTGGATGGATGCAATGATTTAAGGATGGAATGAACAAATCAGGCCAGTTTTTGGCAAAGCTGACTTTCAATATGTATCGCTGATTTAACAGTGCCTCGGGGGAAAACTTTGAACTTGATTCTGTAAGAGTCCAGTGTATCTGTAGCTGCATGAATGTGTGTGAAGCGGTTGCAGACAGTATGCAAACAAATGGAATAACTAACAGGGGACAAAGTCTGCATGCAGACAACTTCAAAAGGCACTCTATCTAATCTACAACTTTACCATGGTACAAAAACACACACAGATAGTGGGGGCACAGCCAGCCTATAGAAAAGAACAACTTCTAACCATCTTGAATAATATTGAGTGTTGCTTCTCTGAAAATGGGCCATTTCCCCTTCCACTCCCATCCATAAACCATCTAAACTGATTATCCTGGATCCTCTGAGTACATTTTACACATATTTATGGTGTTATAAAACGTTTCTATCGCTCGTAAAGCAATATCTCAGGCTCTTTTCAATAAAGTGGTGACATCAAAGACGCTCGCAGGTAAAGGACGTCTGAGGAGGATGAAAATCTTCCAGCGTATTTTAGCCTCCAGTGACGAGAGAAATAAGACAACAGAACAGTTTCGTACGATTGCATTTGATAGATTAAGATTCCTACAGTGACATTGGTGTCTGTAATAACCCAACATTGTTTGTAGCACTTTGTACATTTCTTCAAAATCCACACATTGTCAGCAGCATTTGTTTTGTGTTCACACAGAACAGTAGTTGATAGTCCTGGTCACTGTCGGTGCAGCACTAAGCTGCATTGTATGTAAATCTAGACATAACTCTAATTTATCTTCCTCTGTCCAGAAAATGGCTAATACCTCTTTTGACTCACAAATGGCTCAAACCATTTGATCTAACATGAAGAACCTTCTCACCTCCATCCACAGCCGGGCCACGTGCAGGCGAACGGCTTCTCCCCCGTGTGCCTCCTCAGATGGGCTTTCAGATGGCTGCTCTTGGTGTACATCTTATTGCAGCCAGGAAAAGAGCACTTGTGCATTTTAATCAGGTCTGCTACCGTGCTCTTTTGGTACCTCTGACCTCCAGCAAGGACCCCTGCAGCCGAACCTCCGCCCAATCCGCCGTCTCCGAACCCAGTGGGTTTAGCTGCGATGGGCACCGGTGCGATCCGGACAAATTTGGACAAAGCCGCGCTTCCGGCTTTGCTCGAGCTCGAAACGTTCGCTGTGGAAAGCAGCTGAGGCACCAAGGCAAAGGTCTGCCCCTGGATGTTGACCAGGAGCTGGGCGATTTTGATGTCTGAAGGCGTCTGGGCTGCTGGTGACTGGGTTTTCTGGGGCTGCTGTGTGGCAGCATCTGATATGGCACTGGGGTTCGGTTCTTGTTTGATCTGTATGGGCTGAATTTGTAGGATGACAGGCACACCGGAGGCAGCACCGCTACTTTCTGATGAGGTTGACGATGATCCACAGTCCTCCTGTTTGATCCCATCAACACAACTGTTAGGTGAACTAGTAACACAGCTGGCATCCACTGTTGACAATGAGCTGTCCATGTCTGATGCGTGTCGTGCATGTTTGGTCTCTGTGTAGGAGGAGAGTGGAGAATGAGCCACGGGAACAGTCTGATCTGAGTTCTGTGACACTGGCACAAGTTCTCCTGCTAATGTTCTTGAAGTTTCTGCCTCAGCATCCTCCGACGTGGGTGACATGGCCTCATCGCTCCCCTCCTCTTCTTTCTCCATCGTCACCACCATGTTCTCCTCTAGGAACTCCTCGATCTCCTCCAGAGTGGGCTGGAAGAGGAGCGCTGCAGGATCCTGCAGCTCATCAAGGAAGACTGGAAACTCGTAACAGTCCTCTTTGGCCTGTTGCTGGAGGAGACTCAGCCTCTGCTCCCTCTTGGACTCCCAAGCCAGGCCCATGGGCAAAAACGGGGCAGCGGGAGACGAGGAGGTAGAAGAGGGCGGGGAGGAGACGCAAAGAGAGGACGAAAGAGGAGAAGAGAGAGAGCTGCTGCTGGCGTTAGAGCCTAATGAGGTGGTTAGAGAGGCCTGTGAGAGCAGGAGGTCCAGCAGACTGTCTTGACTCTCTCCTCCTGACGAACTGCAGCTTCCACTGCTCCTGCTGCTCCTACTTTCATAGCTGGAGCCGAGGATGTGCCGCGATACCGGCGATGAAGACTCGGGGCTGGAGCAGAGGGATGAGCGAGGACTGGAGGAGTCGCTGAGGTCATCCTCGGAGAGGCGAGGGGAGGAGGACAGCGTCACCCCTTGGTAAGGGTGGTGATGGTAGATGCAGGCGTCCGTTACCATGATGCCTGGCGACATGCCATCATTGGTAATGCGACAGAGGCAGCTGTAGTCAGACCTTGGGGAGCCGGTATAATACAGGAAGGTCTCCTCACCAATCGGCAAGTGATCCACCATTCCTGTGCAGATGAATGGCAGCTGACTCTGCTCCGCTCTGAAGGTGATCTGAACTTAAATGAAAACTTCTTTCTTCTTTCTGCAAAAGATTACAAACGGTTTGTCAGTTGTGAGAAAGTTAAGCCCAAACTACACCACCCTTTTACCTTGTGGCACCTGCTCTGACTGATTTAAATGAATTGTAACTTTTAACAGGTTTGTGTCGTTGGGTGATCATCATCCTTAAAAAAAAAATCAGAATGCCCATTCAGTTACAGTGCCTGTGGTTAGGCTGACACAATCTGTGAGGTTAATGTTTTACAAGCTGGTCCACCAAGGTTTCATAAAAACAACAGCGAACCAGCACACTGACGGAGAATTATTATTATTTTTTGGTCTCTATGCATTTACCTGCTGCTTGTTCAAGAGGTCTGCAGCCGATGACACTTCAAAGGAAAGTCAACCACTTGTGAAGGAAGTGGAATTTAAAGACTCTGTGTGTGTGTGTGTGTGTGTGTGTAGACGCTGCAGCTGCTGCTGGTTCAGGCTTCAAACTGACCATGTGGAATCAGGGGTTCCCATTTCTCACCACTTCTAACATTGAAGCCACATGGTCATTTAACGGTGTGTTTCTATTTATTTCTCCCTCGTGGTTCTTAATACAGCTCAGTGTGAATGGCAAAACGTTTGCAGCGCTACATGACTTGAGTAAATACACATACAGAGTGGTGTGATCTAAGATTAGAACAAATGTACAATCTCAAGACTTCCTGGAGAACACCAAAGGTACAGTCTGACTGTCATTCAGGTCAGAACCTGGAGTGTTTCAGTGCATGAGTGAAGGATTTAGTGTCTATTTTTATGCATTAAACAGCCCGCAAACAACTCATCTACATTTACATGGATTAAAAACACTAGACATTATCAAAGGACCTTCTATGCAATGAGTGGCTTATGATGATTAAACATGGGTCTGAAATCCCCTTTAAAACCTTAAAAGGCCGCATGTGCTTATTGCATGGACAACAACAAAAAAAAAGGAAAGAAACAAAATGATCTTGCGCCCTCTTCTGTAACGTTCAAAAAAAGCAGCCATCCCCCAAAGTGAAGTGCGGGGACCTCCAGGGGTCCTCAAAGAGGTTCCAGGTGGTCCCAGTAAAATTAAACGTCTAATTCGATTGTTACTTTACTGGCTTTGAGTTCGGACTGCAAACATCAGTGGACGTTTGAGGCATTATGTTCATTGTTTCCCATCTTCAGTGTTGTTATGTAATTTGTGATCTGAGGCCAGAATTCGACTCAGATATGAGTAACATCATATGACATGGAGGGGCTGGGGGTCTGCAGCTGCTGCATCGAGGCGATACCTCATGGAAAAAAAAAAAAAAAAAGTTTGGGATGAGTGTTTGGGAGCACCTTGGCATGCCAGAGTCTTAAGTCATTTGCCCTGCAGTAACCCCGCAGCCGTGAAACATCAAACAGGCTTTGACAGCGTGATGCGCGCTCGGTCTAAACCACGCTGCGTGAGGTTTTGTCGGAATTTATGGCATGTTTAACACTGCAGGCTGTGACAGCTAGTCAGACCACAGTGCCACGATTAGTTTTACGTGATATAGATATTAACTCAACAATGCTGCAAGCACGCTAGAGAGGATTTTACAGCACAAGGCACGAAGTATACAAGGTTGTACATGCAGAGATATCAAACGTCTTTTACTTTTTACACAAATCTACTCCACATGGAGACATAAAAATTAGTCACAAATAAACAAGCATCTAGTGGTGAATCACACTTCTTATGCGCTCACCTGTATATGTGAGGAATCCAAAATCCCGCTCCTTTACGCTCAGCGCTCTACTCCTGGAAGTATGTGTCCGTGCGTAACAGTGCGTAATGGCAATATAACTCCACCACACGGTCTTTGCATAGCCGTGAGCCTCCACACACTTTCTCTCTCATACGCACACTATCTCTCTCTCTCTCTCTCTCCCTCTCTCTCTCGGGAGGGTTGGTAGTTCGCTTAACCGTCACATGATCGGAGTTGGGTTTGTTACACCAGTCAAATCAGGGGGTCGGCTCATGAAGGCTCGCCTGCTCGGCGCGCCGCAATTGGCTCAATGTGAAAGGAGGCCGGCCTCAGGGGTTTGGCGTCAGTGGAAAGAAGGTGTGTATGTGTGTGTGTGTGTGTGTGAGGGGAGGAGGAAGGATGTGTGTTAGTGTGTCCCGACCAGAAAATCTCTGTCATACTCCTGTACTGTCTCCACAGTTTCTAGTGTTTAAAAATGTGATGCTTCATTTACATTTGTGGAATATTCCCATTCCCCAGTTCCAGGAAGTGTATTAATGGTGTAATGTTTCATCAGTGGGAGTTGTTTTCTTGTCTGCATTGTTCATTCATGTAAGAATATGTAATTCCCCGTTATATCACCATAAAACCTGATTTATCTCAGACTTTTTTAAGCTGCTGAAATGTAAAGGCATCATACAGCTGGAGGGGGAGAAAAGAACAAGGGAACAAACATCAACATCTGCTGCCTAGTAAGCACACTGAGCTGTTTTGCCTGTTACAGATGGCCGTGCCCGAATGAGTGACTGAGGGAGCCATTGAGTGGGTAAGCGAGTGTGTTTACATGCTGCCTAATAACGTCGGTAATAGAAGTTTTTTTCTTTCACTCCAGCTGAGCAGGCCTCATATAAACACCTCTGCGGGGCTGAAGTAACTTCACTGGCTCCAACCTAATTTGATTTGCCTGCGTAGGTTAGATTACCTTTCAGTGTGTTTGGATAAATGAATCCACTTTCGGCCTGCTTGTAAACATTAGCAGTGTTTCAGTGCCTACTTGTATACAGCACGGAGTCAGGGGCCATTACGCTGCGTAAAAGGATACACAATGTCACACTGAGCAGGTCTGTTGTGTACACGACTGCTGTTGAACACGGCTACTGCTTTTACAGTCGCGCTACTGCTGCATTGTTTGCTGATGCTTCACTCCTGTGGCTGTAAACCTACCATCTGTAAATACACTTCTGCTTCTTTAACTGGTGAACACTTCTGCTAACGTTGCTTTTCCACTGCCAGAATATTGACAACTTAGAACAACTCTAAAATCCATGTGAAATACCTGTAAACTAATACAGATAAACAGACTTCAAATTGCAGGTTTCATCTGAAGTACTTTCCTCTTGCAAAAGTGAAGCCTACTTTTTGAAGATTCAAATAAACCATGACTGTGCTGGATTACTTGTTCAAAAGCGATTTATTATATCTATCATAGTAAGCATGTGAGCAAGGCAATGCTACCATGACTAGCAGTGTGTTTCTTTAATGGTTTTATAATACGGCACAAAGAGTCATGCTGCTCCTTTTCCGTGTCTTATTCATGAAACAAATAAGTACTTTTTGCTTCAGACATGCGGCCTTAGCTCGGAGTCATTTTATCAAACAATCTACACTGTCCTGAATGCACATCTCCCCGGGTTGCATTCACAAACCAGACACTGATTAGTTGCAGATTCCTAAACCAACTCACAGACCTTCAGTTAACCGGTTAGCCAGAGCTAAAGACAGATACAATCTGTTTGTTTAAGCTGCCTTTTTAGCCCGTCGAATAGCAGTCGCTGTTTAGAAATGGAGCCGCTCTTGTCTGCCTCTGTCATAGAATAAGAACCCGTTGTTTCATAAATTATTCAAAAACTTTTCAGCCTAAGAAGTTTTCTAGTTCCTGCGCACAATTCTGCAGAGTGTGACCTCCTGTCACAGAGGAACTTTTACAAATTTGAGACGGATTGAAGCTTCATCCAGTGTGAACTCAGATGTCTTTTATTTCTGTCAAAATTAAAATTCTGCATTTGATCGATAGCAATTTAGAGTATTGCTATTGATGACGTCTCCTAGCAACAGGGGCCACTTAGGCTCCACCCACAGGCGGCCAAAGACCACAGAGGATGCTGGTCCAGAACTTTGGTATCTTCCACGATGAAGATGATTGAGTCATAAAAATAAAGGCGGACATCCATCCATTACCTGTACACCGCTTAATCCTCACTAGGGTCGTGGGGGGCTGGAGTCTATCCCAGCTGACTCAGGGTGAAGGCAGGGGACACCCTGGACAGGTCACCAGTCTATCACAGGGCTACGCTTAGAGACAGACAACCAAGCACACTCACATTCACACCTACGGACAATTTAGAATCACCAATTAACCTCAACATGTTTTCTGACTGTAGGAGGAAGCCGAAGAACCCGGAGAGAACCGACGCTGCACGGGGAGAACATGGAGACTCCAGGCTGAAAGATCCTAACCAGGACGCGAACCAGCAATCTTCTAGCTACGAGGCGACGTGCTAACCACTGAGTCACCCTGCAGCCAATGAAAAACAAAAAATTAAAAGATTTAAATTCTCTGTATTGAAACATATACTGACTTTTGATGTATTGAGTTACTATTGTGGGGCCTGTTTTTTTTAATAAAGTGTGTGTAAACTGATGTAATGCACCTATTGGAAGGTGATACATTTGACTTTTAAGTGATATTGCACAGATGTGTACTCTCCTCTATTGTATACTGCATTCCTATTGCCCAGTGCGAAGTACTATTGCATACCATTTACAACAAAAACTACTATTTAATTGTAAACACTGTTGTGAATCATGGCTCAAGTTCACTGCTGAAGTTCAGCTGCTTCAGGTTCATGACTTACTGGGAAACTTTATTAAAGCACTACAGCTTTTCCTGCTAGGACACACCTGCTTTAAAAAAAAAAGACCTATGCTACTGCGGTTCCTACCGCTGCTGCACAAGTGATGCGATTTTGTCGGTGATAGCAGTTTTAAACATTTCCTCAATGCAACACTTTTGCATTCCCCACATATGAAATGGACCCTGACTCATTTACCAACCACCCCGCCTCTCTCAGTTGATACTGGCTGTAATTAGACAGAGGTCCTGTGAGGTTGCCGGGTACAAAATGTTTAAAGAGAAGCAGGATGCCGTTCCCTGCATCCAGTAAACACGTCTCTGTTTCCCCCGCACAGATTACATCTTTACTCAAATCAATAGTCAGCTTGTTGCATACATTAGGAAGTCCTTGTGTCCTGGTAGGCTAGGCTCTACCGGAATTATCTCTGCGACCAATTTTAGGTCCCGACAAATATTTTAAGACTAATTCTGATGTTGTATTTGAGGAAATGCAGAGCTCAGAGTGATTACTCAGGAACACAGTCTCATGAAATCTACAGAGGTTCTTTTCTTCGCCCCGCGAACTTAATTGGTTTCGGCTGCTCCATTCAAACTCACAAACACCTACACATATGCATATTATGTAAGCCACAGATGGACCTAATGAATCAAATTGATTTATTTCCTCTGGTAATGCTTGCAACGTGCCAAAAGTAAAATGGGGAAAATGTGTTCCTCTTCAATCACAGACGATACAGTCAACAAAGCTGGCATTGTCACTGAAGAAATACTGGAGGGGAGATATAAGTCAGCGTCTTCTCGGCAGTGTGAGTTTTAAACAACATGGCATCCAAAATAAATAAGAAAACATATGAATAAGTACATATAATTAACTAAAATGAACTTAAAATGCTTGTAATCTTGGTGTTAGTGCGGGCCGAGTGGTCTTGTGCTTAACTGTGTGTTATCTTGTGTTGAAGCCGTAACCAGCTTTAGCCTCACCAGCTGACCGGCAGACCCCTGCAGCTTTAAACCCTGCCATGTAAACAGGAAGCTGCAGCAGGTCACTGGGTGATCAGAGTAAGTCTATTTACTCTCACCTCACCCACCTGACACTGACGTACAGTACAACCACCACTAAATCTGTTTGGGGAGGCTTTCATGACTTGATGTGCTGTAAAACGATCAGATCCGAGAAACAAACACATCGATCTAACTGTGAGCTGTTTCGTTTCCCACCTCTGAGTTGTTAAAAATGCTTTTCCAAGAAGAGTGTTTTCCCCGGGGATTGACCCTTTGCCAAAATTTTTTGTTTTTCTAAAGTACCCCCCCGACACACACACAGTTGTGTTTCCATTTCTTCAGAAGCTACTTCATTGACTTACATTAACTTTTCCTTACTCTAAACCTTCACTGAACCTAAACCAGGTCTTCACACTTAAATTTGATGACTGACAGTATGGAGGCTTGTTTTTAAGCCACACACAGATGCGGGTCCCTGCGGTGTCACTGTGTAAAAGGATTTATGTCCCCACAACATGAGTTACACAAACACACACAAACATGTATTTTCACTTGCTCTCCTGAGATGCTCACAGTACCGGCAGCAGTGTGTAATATTTGTTTTCAGAATGTGTTGTTGGGAATAAAGATTCCTTCCCAGAATTAAGCATTTGGTTTGAATAAAACTGCAAAGACTCTCAACCTCTCCCACCCCCCAATCCAATCCCCACCACCGCCACCAACAATAGTAGCACTCGGACAAACAGCCCTCCTGCTGCTAATGCACTTCTTAGACAGCTTAGTTGGCTTTTAGTTACACTGGCAAGCCTCATCTTATTTGGTGGATTAAGTGTCTTTGTCTTTTCCCTTCATATATACATTTAGGGCTAGAGATTCAACTACTTTTGTGGTTTTGCACATCGAGCTGTGTGTTTACATGTTTGTGCTTACATTTTGCTAAAGCATGAGCGTAGTTTTTTAATTAGGATCCACTCCACTGGGCTGTTTTAAGCGAATTACAGACATCTCAACACTTAGACGTACATTGACACATCATGTATCTTCAGCTTGCACAAGTCTGGGTTGCAGACTAAGCAGGGAAGTCCAAGAAATCCTTCACTGCAGCCATGTTGTCCCTCATCCGTCCAGGTGTTCGCAGGCCAGATAGGACATAAAATCCCAGCAGAATGTTGTGCCCAAAATGAATATGCGGGGATGTATCACCACAGCTGGATACAAAACCGCCACTCAGCATTGCAGCAGATTTGTTCCAGAAG